TACAGGGAAACTACAAATCCACTGCACACACACAGAGAAATTGTGGAACCAATTGCCTAGCAACACCCTGAGGAGTCCGTTTATGTGTCCCATCCCTTTCTCCCAGCTTTCATCTGCCTTGTCTGTTTAGAGCTCGACTCCGAGGGATAGAGACCATTTCTTAGGCTACGTCTACATTGCACCGTTCTTTCAGGAAAAGCTATTCAGGAAGAGATTTTCCGGAATAGCTTATTTCAAAATAGCGCGTCTACACACAAAATGCATATCGAAATTTAGCTATTTAGAAATAGTGTGTCCGCATTGATCGGATGCTGACTCGCATTTAAGGCCACCCAGAAGAAGTGCAGGCAGGGCATCAGGTCAGTAGTTACTTCGGGTGGCTGTTGAGGCTCATGCTTAAAGGGAACCCCTGGACAGCCGTTTCTCAGGTTTTCCTTCTTGCTTGCCTACCTCTCTGAGGGATAGCCAAGCATTTTTTCTGCATGCTCTGGTTGCTTTGCTTCAGGGCACCACAACACTCTTTGCTGTGGATCTGGAGCTGCCTCCGGGCAGTCTTCAGCTCTTGCAGCTTTTGCTGCAAGTCATGTAGCAGTTTCTGCATGTAGCCTTCCAGGCTCTGCAGAAATCCAGCCCTTGGAGACCCTCTTCGGATTTGTGTGGGCGCAGCTCTTGCAGCTGAATCCCAGCTGCCTGGCCTTGGACGCTGTGCCCTGCCACCTATGGCGTCTGGACACCCGTGCAGACTGGTGCTGCAGCTGAATCCCGGCTGCCTGGCCTTGGACACTGTGCCCCGCCATCTATGGCGTCTGGACACCCGTGCAGACTGGTGGGTCCACAATGTTCTGGAGCGCTGGGGAGACCAACAATGGCTCCAGAACTTCAGAATGAAGAAGGACACCTCCCTCGAGCTCTGTGAGTGGCTCACCCCTGCCCTGAGGTGACAGGACACGCACATGAGATATGCCATCACCCTCCAGAAGCACGTTGTCATCACCCTCGGGAAACTCTCCACGCTGGGCAGCTACCAATCCATGGGGAACCAGTTTGGCATGGGGAAATCGACCGCCAGGGTCCTGGTCATGCAGGTATGCCATTCTCAGGCTATTGTCCTAGGAGCGGGTTGGAAGGACGGAGTGGGCTTCCCTAGAGAAAGGGGGTTGGGGCTGGTGCAAACCCCATACCTGGGAGATTTTTTTCAGTCCCACCCTCACCAAGCCCTGCCAGAAGTGGGTGTGATTGCAGGGGGTTGCTCCTGGTGAGTGGGAGAGAGGGGGAATAGAAACGGGGATGGAGGGAACTCAGAGGCACCCTGGAACCCCTGTGATTCTGTTTGTTTGTTTCCTTCTGCAAGAGGTCAGGGCGATCAACACCATCCTACTGCGTAGTCTTCCACCTTGGAGATGTGGACACCATCATCGTCGGGTTTGCCGACATGGGCTTCCCCAACTGCAGGGGGCTATCAACGGGACCCACATCCCCATCCATGCCCCAGACCACCGGGCATCTCTATACATCAACTGCAAGGGATACTTCAGGCTGTGACGGACCACCAGGGACAGTTCACTGACAAAATGTCACGTAGTCGGGGAAGGGGCACAACACATGTATGTTTTGGAATCTTACTGTGTTCCATAAGCTGCACGCTGGAACTTTCTTCCCCAACCACAATACCAAGGTCGGGGATGTGGACATGCCCGTCTGCCTGGTGGGGGATGCGGCCTATCCCCTGAAGCCTTTGCTCATGAAGCCCTATACCAGCCACCTCAACCCCTCCAGAGAACTATACAATGCCAGGCTAAGCAAGGCCTGCATGGTCGTGGAGGGCGCCTGCAGCTGTTTGAAGGTGCGCTTCAGATGCCTCCTCACTCGTCTGGACCTCAGGGAGCACAACATTCCACATATAGTGGCTCTGTGTTGTGTTCGGCACAACGTGTGCGAGAGGAAGGGGAAGGTTGGGTGGGGGGTGGAGGTTGACCGCATAGACAGGGCCTATGAGCAGTCATGCATAGGTGCCATCTGACAGGCCCATCAGGAGGCCATGCTCATCTGGGAGGCCCCGAGGGAAAGTTTCTCCCCTCACTGCCATCCCTTCACTAACCCCTCCCTTCCCTCCTTCCCCCCATTCTGAATGAAAAAATAAAGGACACATTTGTTTCTGAAAAACTAAAACCTTTGTATTTTTAATGTGGGGTCAATTAAACTGGGGAGGGAGGGGGGAAAAGAACCTGGGAGAGGGGAGGACAGAGGGTGGAAGAAGGAGGGTGGTGAGAACCTTGGAGGAGGGAGCTGGAAGGGGGATGAAGGGGGAGGAAAGACTCAGGGTTGGGGCTGGGAGTCGTGCCTGGCTTTGTTGCTCTCACCACCGTGGGAGCAGGGGCCTCAGTATCCACATCTGGATGGGGAGGGCATGGAGGGAGAAGCGGGAGGGGGAGTGGGAGCAGGAGCTACAGCAGGAGCGGGCGCAGAAGCTGGAGCAGGAGCAGGACAAAGGAGGGCACATCTGCATACATGGAGCGACCCTGTGCAAGCCGCTCCCACCAGCTCTCCTCCGTGGTTGGTCTGCTTCAGGGACTGGAGTGCTGACAGGTGCTGCCGGTGGAACTCATCTATGGGACAGTGGCGCCTGCGGAAGCCTCGGGGCCAGGAGGCTGTCCCAAGTAGTCAACGCCCCTTTTGCAGCTGCTGCAGCTGTGGAGAATAAAGAGAGATGGTCAGTCATCCCAGGGAACACTGTTCCTGAAGCCTTATCCCCATCTGTGAGCCAACAGCAACCGTTCTCAGCTCTGTCACAGGCGATGTGCTTGGAGCAAGGCCATGTGTGCTCTGGCCAGTGGGCCCACATGTCCCCAGGAGTGGGTGCTGCCCCGAGACTGTGGGCATGTCATAGAATCATAGAATAATAGGACTGGAAGGGACCTCAGGTCATCGAGGTCATCGAGTCCAGCCCCCCGCCCTCAAGGCAGGACCAAGCTCCGTCTACACCATCCCTGACAGATGTCTATCTAACCTGTTCTTAAATATCTCCAGAGAGGGAGATTCCACCACCTCCCTTGGCAATTTATTCCAATATTTGACCACCCTGACAGTTAGGAATGTTTTCCTAATGTCCAATCTAAACCTCCCCTGCTGCACTTTAAGCCCATTACTCCTTGTCCTGTCCTCAGAAACCAAGAGAAACAAATTTTCTCCTTCCTCCTTGTGACACCCTTTTAGATATTTGAAAACCACTATCATGTCCCCCCTTAATCTTCGTTTTTCCAAACTAAACAAGCCCAGTTCATGAAGCCTGGCTTCATAGGCTTCTCTAGACCTTTAATCATTCTTGTCGCTCTTCTCTGTACCCTTTCCAATTTCTCCACATCTTTCTTGAAATGTGGCGCCCAGAACTGGACACAGTACTCCAGCTGAGGCCTAACTAGCGCAGAGTAGAGCGGCAGAATGACTTCACGAGTTTTGCTTACAACACACCTGTTAATACAACCTAGAATCATATTTGCTTTTTTTGCAACAGCATCACACTGTTGACTCATATTCAACTTGTGGTCCACTATGACCCCTAGATCCCTTTCCGCCATGCTCCTTCCTAGACAGTCGCTTCCCATCTTGTATGTATGGAACTGATTGTTCCTTCCTAAGTGGAGCACTCTGCATTTCTCCTTATTAAACCTCATCCTGTTTACCTCTGACCATTTCTCTAACTTGCTAAGGTCATTTTGAATTATGTCCCTATCCTCCAAAGAAGTTGCAACCCCACCCAGTTTGGTATCATCTGCAAACTTAATAAGAGTACTCTCTATCCCAATATCTACATCATTGATGAAGATATTGAACAGTACGGGTCCCAAAACAGACCCTTGAGGAACTCCACTTGTTATCCCTTTCCAGCAGGATTTAGAACCGTTAACAACAACTCTCTGACTACGGTTATCCAGCCAATTATGCACCCACCTTATCGTGGCCCTATCTAAGTTATATTTGCCTAGTTTATCAATAAGAATATCATGCGAGACCGTATCAAATGCCTTACTAAAGTCTAGGTATATGACATCCACCGCTTCTCCCTTATCCACAAGGCTCGTTATCCTATCAAAGAAAGCTATCAGATTAGTTTGGCATGACTTGTTCTTCACAAACCCATGCTGGCTATTCCCTATCACTTTATTACCTTCTGTGTGCCATGGGTGGGAGTGTGTGTGTGTGTGTGTGTGTGTGCGGCTTGCCCCCCAGGATGCAGTCTAAGTCTATGTCTGTGAAATAAGGGCAGGTGTGGAGCTCTGCCCCGGAGCAGGAGTTGCCCTCCCTGGTCCTGGCATATGCCTGGTGGAGCTCCTTTACCTTCATCCGCACCTGTTCTTGGGTGTGGATGTATCTTTTTGTGGCCAGGCTGTTGGCCATCAGCCCATAGACGTCCACATTCCTGTGTCTAGTGTGGAGATCCTGGAGGTTGGTCTTGTCACCCCAAGCCTCAATGAGGTCCAGAATCTCCGCACCAGACCAGGAAGGTGCATGTCTTTTTCGGCCCCTGGCAGGTTCCTGGGAACTGTCTGACTGCTCCCTGGAAGCAGTGGAGGGCTGGGTGGGAGCGGCAGACTGGCTCATTTTAGGGGTGTAGTGAATCAGGTGCAGCTGCAGGCTGGCTCAGAGCTGTCAGGCCTGTTGCGAGCCACAAACTCTTTCTTTACACCTATTACTTTTCAGGAAGAATGGCATTGCGCAAGAGGGTTTTTCTTGCGCAAGAAGGGGCAGTGTAGATGCTCCTTCTTGTGCAAGAGCCTCTTCTGAAAAAAATGGTGGCTCATTAGGTATGCAAATGAGGCTCAGCAATATTCCACGCTTAGCCTCATTTGCATATTACTTGCGCAAGAACCCGTGAGTGTAGACATAGACCTAGTGTGCTTGTACAGGGCTGAGCATAAAGGGGCCTTGCTCTTGGGGGTGACCTCTCAGTGCTATTGTAACACCAATGCTAACGTGACCATATGTCCCATTATTCTCCCAGGCACCAACAAAGAGGGCACTAGACAAGATGCCTCATGCTTTTGATGACCAATACATAGGATGTGCTGAAGAAATGGAAAGAAGTGCATCTGAATGGCTAAAAGACGAAAAGTCAAATTCCGCATTGTTTCATGTTGTGTGGATAAACGCAACAAATAAATGGGAAGAAGTGAAAAGAAATATTCCTCTCCCCAGAAGCTTTCAGGATGAGTATGGAATAGCCATAGTCGCCTATACTAACCGCTTCAATAGAGGATTAAATGAGGAAGTGAGGAAGAATTGGGAATCTCAAGCTGAATACAAGGTCAATTTCAAATTCAAAGCCTTTCACTATTATTTGACGAGAGCCTTGCAGCTCTTACGTGGGAAGTGCGATGGGATGTACAAACAGACGGTGTACCGGGGGGTTCCCGATGTTGAATATCATTTCAAGGGAATGGAATCAAATCCTATCAGGTTTGGACATTTTGCCTCTTCCTCTCTTAACAAAAAAGTGGCTAAGGAATTTGCCAAGAAGGGGTCATCTGACACCTCCACATTTTTCACCATCCACACGTGCTTCGGTGTTGATATCAGTAAATTCTCATACAACCGATCCCAAGAGGAAGTGTTAATCCCAGTCCATGAGATGTTCAACGTGTCCCAAGGAGATGACGGATTCGTCCTCCAGAGCACAAACCAGACCTGCAGCTACTTTAACTGCGCGTACCTGGGCAGTGAGTACTGGGCTGAACAGGCGAAATGTTGGGGGCGGGGGGGCGGTTTGCCGTGGGGAATTTAAAACCCCTGGGTACTGTGAGAGATGACAAGAGGGTTGCTGGACTTGCCACCAGGGCTGAGGGAGACGGGCTGCCATGACCCTTGCAGCTAGCAAAGGCTCAGGCCGGGGTGGGCGGACACTGGGCCCCAAGCGCTCCCTGAGGACAGAGAGGTGCCTAGACACCATGGTGAGGGGCTCACTAGAGATGGGGAAGGCCCCAAAGCGCTGTGAGTTTTACACACACACACGCCCCCTACAGGGCCTGGCAGAGCAGCTGTGTCTCCTTAGATAGGGCCCAGCTATGCCGTAGGCTACAGGCAGGGAGCAGGCAGGTGGCCTAGTGTGCAGGTGGCACGTTATTTAGGGCAAGCAGGGCTAGGGACAATAGTGAGGAACATCAGAGAGATGTGACCAAGTTGGGTGAATGGGCAACACCACGTCAGGTGACATTCACTGACAGGCAATCAAGGTGCCGCCCGTTGGGAGAAACAACGTCACTGGGTTGTTAATAAGCTGGGCCAACTCAGACAGAAACCAGGCCATCATCGTGGGAAGGTCAGTGCCAATCTATGTGAGACAGCCTAAGGAGTGGTGGGATGGAGAATTATGTGAAAATTTTACAACATGATTATGGGAACCCATGGGGCAGCCTTCACTGGGGTACTAGCTTGGATCTGATCACACTAGCTCTAAAAGTGTTTACATGATTTCTACAGGTGAGTCTGAAATGGTTTAATTAGCAGAGGGGACACTCATAAGAGGAACATGATGGAAACAAACATAATAATAAAGGAGACAGTGTCAGATCAAAGAGCGCCATTTTCCCTTTCTCATAAAACATGAATAAACTGAAGGCAACATATTTTAACTAGTAAACGGGAATGTTCTGTTAGATAATGTAGGGTAAACTTGTGGGACTCATTGCCGCAAGATTTCCATAAGGTCATGTGCCCAGTAGATTAAAAAAAAAAAAGAAGTAGCCCTTTATATAGACAGAATCACCACAGTTATGTTACACAGGATAAAACCCCCCGATCCTGCACCCCCATAGCAGCCAGAACAGACTCCGCCAGCCAGTAGAATACAGAGGGTTTATCGCTTCTCCAGGACACAGCACAGCACAGACGTGACGTGGCTACAGGAGTCAGGGCCAGGATGCCTCGGACCCCTTGGGTTAGGGGGTCCATCGCCCCCTCAGCACTCAGCTCAGTCTGTTCCCTTCATGTTTCCCAGCCAGTAACTGCCTCGCTCCCAGACCCTGCCCCCCAGCCAGGTGGCCGTCTCCACCTCCCTTCCTTTATCTCTTCACTGCCCCCCTCTCCTCCCTTCCCCCCAGGAAGAGCTTTGCTAACTGCCCAGGCTGGGACTAGGTGTCTGGGCCAATCCACATGTGGGTGAGTCAATAGAATCGCACATCACAGCGCAGGGGAACCCCGGGTTACAGAGCAGACAGCCCCCCCCCCCACTACGTCACATCTCTCCTCCCTCCGAGAGTGGACTAAGCGGGGTCACTCTGCTTGTGACCTGGGGAAGTTTGGGCCCCCTGCCAGGTAAAGCAGCAGCAGTGACATTGGCGCTCCCCTTGGCTTGGGCCTGCCACAGCGCTGCCCTGCAGGAGCTGGCTCCCCCTTGTCCAGCTGCTTGCACGGCTTTGAGGGGGCCAGTGTGGACCCACTCTCTCTGGTCGTACCAGCCCTTTCACTTCCCTTGGGCTCTGCCCAGGGTCTCTCTGGCCGGGCCCATGAGCTCAGCGAGCCTTTCCCGGAAAGCCAGGACATCCTCCATCCCTGACGCTCCATTTGGGGCAGCCTCTCCCTTCCATGACTCTCTCAGCAAGCCCAAGGGGTCCTCCCCTCTTCTGTACTCTGGCTCAGTCAGGGAGAACCTGGCAGACCCTCAGAGTGCCTCCCGGTGTGCAGACAGCAGGGGGGCAGGTACTTGTCCCAGTCCTGCAGATACCAGTGGACGAAGGCCTCCAGCACCTGCTTCAGGGTCCCCTGGAACCTCCTCACCAGCCCGCTGGGCCAAGCGTCATACGCCGGCGCCCAGGTGAGCCGGGCCCCGTGCTTCTCCCACAAGCACCAGAGCAGGGCCGACATGAAGTGGGACCCCTGGTCCGTGAAGACCTCCTTGGGGCACCCCACCCTGCTGAAAAGGGCCAGCAGTGTGTCTGCCACCATGTCTGCCTCGATAGAGGACAGAACCATGGCCTAGGGGCAGTGGGTAGCCAGATCCACTGCTACCAGGATGCATTTGTTCCCCATCTGGGTGACCTGACCGACAGGCCCCACTATCTCTATTGCTGCCTTCCAGAACGGCTCCTCTATAAGGGGTCTCAAAGCAGCTTTCCTCCCATCTGGGGCCTTTCCCACCCTCTGGCAGGAGTCGCAGGACCAGCAGTACCGCTGCACAGCTGCAAATGTCCCTGGCCAATAGTAGTTTCGGAGCAGCTTCAGCCAGGTGCACTGGATACCCCAGTGCCCCGCAAATGGGGCGTAATGGGCCAGATACAGCAGCTTGCAGCAATACTTTTGGGGGACTACCAGCTGCCCCAGACCCCTTCCTTCCCAGGGAGAAGCCATTCCCGATACAGGAATCCCCACTCCCACAGCATCTCCCCAGGGGCTGATCAGCATGGAGGCCATCCTGGTCCCTCAGCATCTGTAAGGAGGGGTTTGCCTGCACCTCAGCCTGGAATTCCACATCTGGGGCAGGAACAGGGACCTGTTTCCCAGCACTGCCTGGGTCCGGGCCTCTAGCCCTGCTGGGCTCCGTGTCTGCTGGGATGGGCCCTTGAGCCCCCTGCAGGGAGCCCTTCCCCGGGTCAGGGTTGCCAGCCCCTCGCTGGCTCTGGCTGTGGGTGGTGACCAGGGCCCTGTGGGATCCATCTGGCCAGTCCTCTAGGTCATTCCCCATCAGCACCTCCATGGGCAAGTGTTGGTACACCCCCACTTCCTTGGGGCCCTCCTTAGCCCCCCCATTTCAGATACACCCGGGCTACGGGCACCTTAAACGGGGTCCTGTCTATGCCCCTCAGGGTCAGCTGAGTGTCAGGTACCATATGGTCTGGGGCTACTGCCTCAGGCTGAGCCAGCGTCACCTCTGCCCCTATGTCCCAGAAACCCGTCACCTCCCTTCCATCCACCTCCAGGAGCCCACAGAGGCTGCCCTGCCCTCACCTGGTACACGGAGAAATCTGCCTCCATAAGGTTGGATCTACCAGGGGAGGTGCACTGAACGTCCTTCCCCCCACTCTGATCTGAGGTTTGCCTGCTGGCCCCTGCCTCTAGGGCAGCCTGCCCTTCCCCCAGCTCCAGCCAGTTAACCCTGGAAAGTCTTAGGTTGGGGGACCTGTCCTGGTGCCTGGTGCACTTAAGCCCTCTTGTGGCCCCTTTGCCTGCAGTGATGGCAGGTTAGGTCATGCGGGGCCCTTCGGGTC